TCGGTGCTCTTAGCAACTTCCTAAGACCTAGTGCATGAAACACCTGCAGAAAGCAGATGCTCTCTGAGGCCACTGGAGAGTGCTGTGTGATCTGACATCATGCTTGCTGCAGGGAATATGTCGGGAAGGAGGGAGGGGATGAGGATGGGACTCTACTTTCTCTCCTGTGTGGCCTGAGCACCTCCATGAGCCAGGTCCTCGCCTTGAGCTTGGCAGCACTTTTCAGTTGTGGGACTTATTCTTTTTACCTCGAGACATGATGGCTGTAGTTAGGGGCAGCAGGCGGGCGTGTGGCAGCGGGAGGGCACCTGGAGGAGGACAAGCGGGTGTGAGCTTCTTCAGCAGGGCTGTGTTCTAGGACAAGGCAAGGTCAGCCTGTCCCCCAAACGCCCTGCAGAGGAAGTTACTGTGGGCCTTGGACTGCAGCCTGTCAGCCCCGCTTAGGGTTGCCTGGAAGAACAGCAGGCCTCGTAGTGGGGATCCTCTCTTCTGTGGTGGGGGGGGGCCTCTCAGTTTGTAGCCAGCACTGACTCCCCTCTGCTGTGCTGAAGTTGATGCCTCAAATCTGACTTTCTCCTCTTTGGGATCTCTAAGAGAAATAGAAGGGACGCCTCTCTCCTCCATGCCTGCCAGGGCCAGCAGCGCAGAGGGAGCTCTCTGTCCTGGGCCAGCGGGGACTGTCCTGCTGCCCTGAGTGCATAGGCCTCTGAACACGGACCTGGGCTCCCTGCCTTCCTGGAGGGGCAGCTGGAAGTACACTGCAACCAGCTCCTCCTGCTGGGGCCCCGGGACTGACAGTAGGGCTCGGGCTCCGGAGGGCCCTCCTTTTGGAGACACGTTCCCTGGTTAGCGCTCAGGTTCCTCACCAGGAGTGCGCCTATGACCCCGGTCTCTTCTTCTTGGCAGAATTGGGAGCACCTCCTTTGACCGAGGTCCTCTCCTCCCAGGAGACCTCCTGGGCACAAGTCAGGCCATGGATCTGTCCATCTTCTCAGGGCTGAGAGCAGGTGTGGCACTGGGCAGTCCCCTTGGTGACGGGAAGAATGATCTACTCAGTTTACATTCCGGGTTCCCACCTAGATACCTGGCCAGCCCTAGAGCTCCCCTTTCTACCTCCTGAGTTCTTGCCCCTCAGACTGAGTTCCTACCTTCTGGATTCTCTGAAGAGAAGGTCAAGGTGGGACACCGGGGTACCCCTTATACCAAGGCCGGTTGTCCCCATGACTCTCTGGGCAAAAAGGAAGGGCTCCTGAGCTAAGGGCCCTGCCCTGGGCATTCCAGAACATGTGAGGTTCTGTATGAACCTCTCTGCTCGTGGGGTCCCCTCATGTCATTGGGGTCCTAGCCTTGGCTCTTTTCATTCCAGGGTCTCCACCCCTGTAGCACCGGGGCCACCCCAACTAGACTAAAGCCCTCTTCCCGTGATGCTCCAGGTAGAAAAGCGTGTGCTCCTCAGCCTGACACCTCTTTCCAGGGCCTCCCAGAGTGGCCAGCAGGGGTGAGGGTATGTGTTGAGATTTGTGGGTACTGCTATATTCTGGGGTGAGTAGTTCCCTCACTCCTCATTGACCATTCTCACCTTGACACCTGAGCAGTTTTCATTAGGCCCAATATTGGGATGGCACCCTCACCTGACCTGAGACTACGCTCCTGTCAGATCAAGGTCCTTACCTTCTGGGGACCACCACGTTGGAAGTCAGTGTGAGGAACTCCGTCCACAGCTGTTCCAAACCTGCAAGTAGGGACAAGGGCAGGACTCTATACTACCCCATTGGTCTGGTTAGGTCCTTCCCCCATTCCTCGTTCAGGGTCCTCTCCTTGAAGTGTATCAGAGGCTGGCATTCCTCCCTCTACTGACTTGACGTCGCCACTCCGTAGACCAAGGCTTTCTGTTCCTGAGAACCCGGAAGGACGAGGGATTGACCAGCCCTGCTGAGGCCCTATGAATCTGAGGGCAGCTGTGGGTTAGATATGTGAGACCATCTATATCCTAGGGTGTCAATCTTCCCAGTCCTCCTACATACTGATCCACATTTTGGCTCCAGCCTAGATTAAAGATTTCCTGGGGAATGCTCCATCCCTGCAAACTGGAGAAGTTTTCCTACTGTAAACCTTGCATATGGAACCGGTGTCACAGGAGTGATGCCCAATGGAGATGCTACAGTCCAAGGCAAGACGCCCAGGACAGAGGGTGGCCTGTCAGGGGAAAAGCCGGCTGATCTCTTCCTTCCTTTCTCCAAGCAGACTTAGCCTCTGATGTCACTTTGGTTCTAATAAATTGACTTTCTACAAGGCAGGGGTGGACAGCCATCATTTTGTGAGCCCCTGTTTTTTCAGTTGGTCTGACATTATATAAGTAGGTGATCGTATTGTCACTGAATATTTTTCTCCTTCTTTCTGTATACCACCCATTTTTTGGATGTTTTTATTGCTCTGTGTATTCCAAACAAGTAGTTAATACACTGAGCCACCTTTTTATTGCCTGAGAAACATCCCAAGTAGTGAAAGGACATGTATATTATGACATACAGTATGTGTGTCAGGCTGGGAGAGTGTGGGTCTGAAGGAATACAGACCACGGGTTTAGTACTGGCTCTGCTACTTCCCAGCTATGTGAACTGAGGCTCATTAGCAGAGTCTGGGAGCCTCTGGTTAGGCAGGTATGAAGCATGTATGTCAGGCCATGCCGTCTGGAATGCGTGCTGTGAACCCAGCACAGTGCCTGGCACATATTGAGATTTTTATTTTATTTTATTTTATTTTATTTTTTTAGAATGGCAGAATAATCAATTTCTATCCACATTATATATAATTTTATGTAATCAGAGAAGAATATCTTGGCTCAAATGGCAGGAAAATCAACTGTTGTCCCTACTAATCCCATACTAAGTTTCCTGGAATTATGAGAATGACATCAGTTATTAGGGAAACTTATGTGTACTAATATATATATTAGTGACCACTTGACCAAAGTCATAATCAGAATGCCCTCTGTACATTTGTTATTTATTTACCAAGTTTTATCTTAAAATACACTCTTTTTAATGACATGACTTTGCATTTAGAGTTGCTGATGTCAGTTGGAAATAGCATGCTATCACCTCACCAAAGGGGTGAATAAATATCAGGGTAACTGAGAGCAGATATTATCATTTTCCTCAACCTTATTAAAATTGCAAGTTTGTGGAACAATTTTAACCAACAAAGATAACTCTTTTAAAAAAAACAAAATAAATTTCAATGTAAATAATAAAAATAATGAAGTGTTTTTTCCTCATCAACTCTCTGAATGTTAGGTTATGCTCAAAGCTCCTAGTATATATCTTGGCCTATTTAAAAAATTTAATTTTTATTGTAGTTTTTTCCCCACTACCATTTATCTCCCTGATACACCCCTCCCCCCAACAATCTCCACACTGTTGTCCATGTCCATGAGTCCTCTTTACTTTTTGCTCAATCCCTCTACTCCCTCACCTCCATCCATACTAGCTGTCATCGTACTCTCCTTCTATGAGTCCGTCCCCATTTTCCCTGTTAGTTCAGTTTCTTCATTAGATTCCACATATGAGTGAAATCATATGGTATTTGTCTTTCTCTGACTGACTTATTTCACTTAGCGTAATGTTCTCCGGGTCCATTCATACTGACACAAAAAAATATGGAACGCTTCACGAATTTATGTGTCATCCTTGCGCAGGGGCCATGCTAATCTTCTCTGTATTGTTCCAATTTTAGTATATGTGCTGCTGAAACGAGCACCATGTTGAGATTTTTAAATGGCAGTTCCTACCATGATTATTTTGACCTCATCCAATACCGTGTACCACAGTGAGATTTATTTTTTTTCCTAATCAAGGAGTGGTCAAAGAATAAGCATCATTCTTGGAAAAACAAAAACCATAAAACCCAAATCAGCCGAAGTTGTTGTTAGTAAATAAAACTAAGTCATATTTCTGCATTAGTGATCCTTCATTTGATGTGAGCATTCAGTAGATTTTCTCAGATGCAGTGTGAAGCTTCTAAAGGTATGCAAAGCACCAACAACCTTCGTTTCCCACAGCTCCACATGCATTTAACCCATCCCCATTTTCATTCGCTCCAACTCCTCCAAAGATGTAGCCCTCACTTAGAGTTTGCCACATCACATAGAAGAATGCCATACTTGGGTTCCCTTTTCATGGAGCGGACTAGGTACCTGGACCTCCCAAGCAAGGACAAATTGGGCCAGCCCCTTGTATTGGGGTGTTGGCGCTGGGCTGCTCTGGTCTGGAACCTCCTCCCTCCTTATTTTGTCTGTGTATTTTCCTTTAAGGCTGAGTGTGGCTCTCGCCATGCTCCTTATGTGAGAGCTTCCCCTGGGCTCTCAAATGTTATTGGCAGGGGCTGAATATTCTTTTTCTACACCTCCACAGAATTAATTAACATGTTGTTTGAGGAACAAAAGAGAAAGTGCACAGGAGTTCTAATTTGTGACAATTTAATTTCTCCCACATTCTTGAATAAATTAAGCAAATACAGGTGTATGTCTTTTAATTTTACAAAAAGAAAGAGTAAGAGGAATGAGGAAAATGAAGAATTAACCACCTTTTACTTTTATTTTTCACTGTTTCATTATCCCAACTATTTCACTGTTGGATTCTTCTATATTTTAAAGAAAATTCCTCTCCAATGCTCTTTGTTTTGGTACTGGACCACAATAAAACATGCAAGGACTATCAACTTGTTTTTACAAAATACAAAACTCTCAAACTTGATGTGTGAGTTGTGTTATTCATAAAGTTAGATTCTGAATCTAAAGAAGCCATTTTAAAAGGAACACATCAGAAAAATGAGGGGGAAAGGTAAATTTTTTAATTACTAATGAAACCAAAAACACAGTGAAGAGATATATTGTGCTCTCTCCAGCCTCACCTTGCGGACGTGTGCCCCCCGCCCCCCCACCACTCAGAAGGTTGACAGCCATTTTCAACTTCTAGGCAAGTACTCTGCCTCAGGCTTAACTAGCGCTGGGAGGAACTGCTGGTCTCGTTCCTGGAGCGGGGCCTCGCTGCAGCTTTGGTTCTGGCTCGCTCTTCCTCATCTCTCAACGCCTCCTCATACCAGCTCTGGAAGGCAGTGGGATCTGTATTATTGACTTCGGCCCAATGTTCCAGGACTTTCATCTTATTTCATCATGGGCTCTTGGGTCCCATAGGAATTCGTAGCGTGGAGGATCACTGTTGGGCACCTGCTGGTACTTGAGCAATTTTTGCTGCACCAAATCTGTAGTGATGAGCTTCCTGGGCTCCCCAAAGATGAGGTGCCTCCTCCCAGGATAGAGCCCCTTCCTATCCAAGAATTTCCACATCTCTTCCTCAGGGACACGGTTGCCATTGAAGAAGATTATGCCTGGGAGAGGCATCAGGATTCCATTCTTGGGAAAGTCCATGCCGCCATCGCAGAGACTCCATTCATTGGTAAGATCCAGTTTGCTGACAAGGATATAAGAGTGACGTGTAGGGTCAATTTCCTTTAGGTCAAGGCCAAAGGCCAGCTCCATGTGCTAAGCAGTTCTCTTGAAGAATTCAGGAAATAGTGCTCTGTACTTCTTGTCGATAATCTTCAGCATTTCTTTGTAATGGGCTCTTTCATTTTATACTTGTGCATGAAAACCTGCACTAACAGGCCCATTTTCCTGGTTAGAAGATCTTCTCTAGAGCTTGCTAAGGAGGGCAAGGCCCAGCAGGAACTTGGATTTTCCTCTCTTTGGCTCTTGGCACATTCACCAGAACTTACACAGGAAATGGTTGCATCAGGAGAACTAGAGGCCCGGGCTCCCTGAGATTTCTCTGGAGCTCCTGCAGCAGGTGGGCTGGGTGGCGTAGCCCCAGACACAAGTGAGGGGGACAAGGGAACCTCTTCTGCCCCTGCTGCAGAGGCTCGAGAACCCCCAAGACCATGGTCTTCACCTCAGGTCTGGTGTCGTTTCTCCCAGGCATGTAGCTTACTCTTCTTACCATGAGACATGACTGTGGTTAAGAACAGCAGGCAGGAGTGTGATGGGAAAGCAGGTGACACAAACACCTGGAGGAGGATAAGAGGGTACAAATACCTTCCATAGGGAGATGGCATTGTGGCTTTAAGAATGGCCCTCTGTAAGAGTCTGTGGAAAGGTCCATTAAGGAAAAAAATGCAAGCTCTCCAGAGGTGGAACATAGTGAATGAGGCAGGAATGGCAGCAAGAGACATGAGGCTGGAGAGGTCAGTGGGGGCCAAACCACAAGGGTTTTTTGTAAATTATATTAAGGAATTTTGATTTTATTCTAAGGAAACTTGGGAGCCAGAAGAAAGTATAGAGCAGAGGTTTTATAAACATTTTTCTAAAGATTTGGAGAATTAGGGAGCCCTGGCTGGTGTGGCTCAGTGGACTGAGTGCTGGCCTGCGAACCAGAAGGTCACCGGTTCAAATCCCGGTCAAGGCACACTCCTGAGTTGTGGGCCAGGTCTCTTGCCCATCACTGTTTCTCTCCCTCTTTTTCTCCTTCACTGCACCTGTCTGTAAAAATGAATAAATAAAATATTTAAAAATATATAGATTGGATAATTAGGGAAATGAATCAGGTGACTATCATTGTAATCTTTGCAATGGACAACTGTTGACCAGCAAAGATGAGTGGAAGTGGTATTTCTCTTAGGTGGCAGGAGAAATAGGGGATATCATTAGGGGAGGGGGAATCCAAGATGATATTTGAGAAAACTGGGCAAATGATTGAGTCTGTAAGAATAGAAAAGAGCAACAGAGAATGCCCTAGCTGTTGTGTATCATTTACATAAAATTAAATATGAAAACAGCAAAAGACCAGTTAAAAACAAACAAACAAAAAAAATGGTCCACTGTAGGTGTCCTGTAGGGTACCATAGCATGACCCCACAGGATTCCTGTTCTGACCAGCGTGTCCCCTGAGGACCCTGTGGAGGCATTAGGGTGCACCTCAACCTGGAAACTTCTGAGAGCTGGCAAGAGTGGGGCACTGGGTGATTATGCTGACCATATTCGGAATCTCCACCTTAATACCTAACTAGTCCTAGAAGTCCCGCACCCTCTGGCTGGAGTTTGTGCCCCTTGGACCAAGATCCTCACCTTTCAGGTGAGCAAGTGAGAGTGAGCCACATCAACCAAGACTGTAAGGGACCTCCAAGGACTGACAGATAAGATTGTATGGGGTTTGCAAGGGCTAGCATCAGGGGCAGGACTGTTTGGGACCCCACCGATGTGTGTCAAAGCCTGGGACTCCTCTCCATTGTTTTGGATCTGGCAGCCTCAAACCTGAACTCGGTTGCCTTAGATTCGAGAAAGGAAGTATAGGAACACTGCCTGGTGTTCCCAGTCCTGGTCCCCCTTCTTTTTGAGGAGAGGTCCCCTTCTTAGCACTCAGGGTGTCTCCAGAACTCCAGTTAGAGATGAGACCATGCTTTCTCTTTCAACAGAACTGTGGCTGAACTAGTAAGACCAAGGCCCTCCTCTCCATGGTGCCATCCACACAGAAGCCCAATCATCATACTGGGGCCTCCCACAGCTAATGGTAAAGCAGAACTTCCTGGGGCTTCCCTTGGTTATGGGCAGGATAGTCGCTTCAGTTCACAATTAGGGTCATTATCTTCATACCTGACCAGTTTTCGAAGTCAGCTCTCCACTGACTGGAGGTAATATGTCTCAGTCAAAGTTTTTCACGTTACTGATAGTTCCAAGGCGGAAGTCAGTGAGCCACTTCTGGCCAATGCTGCTAGGGGTCTCAAAGGGCTGTCAGTAAAGACAGTTCTTCGGACTCTTCAGATAACAGTCTGAACCTGCAGTCGTCCTTCCACTGATTTGAGTCTGCCAATTTTTCATCGTCTTTGAGTCCCTAGAAGGGAAAGTGAGGGCTATTGACATCTGACTAGCCCTGCGTTGGCCTCTCATGCTTGTTGGCAGGGGCGGGGTTCTAAGAGATCTTGTCTTTTGCAAAGAGATCTTCTCTTTAGTATTAAGGGCCCTCAACTAAACTGCAGTTAAGACCTAATCTCCTAGCTCTATACAACCTGGCTTGATCTCTTCCTACTGAGGCGCTCCTCTACTAAGATCTTCCAGGCAAAAATGAGGAGCCCCCAAGCTGAGCGCTATGCTTGGCTTAGACTACACACAGAACACAGGGAATGTGTGACCCTCTGTCCTGATGGGGTTCCTTAATATCACTAGCTCCTCACCTTGACTTCTGTTACCTCTGGTTGTCCTCGTACTGATGAACTGGAGCCCACTCCCAAATCCCAATGCTTTCTTCTCTGTGAGATCCTGCAAGTGGCAATGAGGAGGCTCCTCAACCTGACGATTCTGCTTGGACCTCTCAGGTTGTGGGGAGGGGACAGAACTTTGTGGTGTCTTCTCTGTTTGAGTGTGGGTAGTTCCCTCATTCCTCCCTAAAAATTCATCCACCTTGACACCTGACTACTATTGGGACTCCACTCTTGGAGGACCTGAAGCCCTTACCCTCTGGGAATATAGAATGAAAAGTCAGTGTGAGCTGGATCCAGCCATAATTGTTCCAGACCTCCACTGGTGGAGAGCTGGGGCAGCTAAAGGATCCCATTTTTCAGGTCTCCTAGGTACTCAATAGGCCTTGGAAAGCCATAAGCTGGCCTCTGAAGGTTGTCTACATTCTGGAGTGTTGGTCTTCTCAGTCTTGCTACTTTGGGGTCCTCTTGTGGCTCATGTCTCCTTTATTAAAAGCTTCCTGAGAAATGCCATGTCACTTCAAACTGTTGAGAAGACAATGCTTCCTTGTCCCGGTGTTATGAGACCTGAGGAAGCAGTACTTAAGGGCAAGAAGCCCAGGATGGGTGGTGGTCTGCCAGAGAAAAAATTAACTGACCTCTTCTCTTCGCCAAGCAAATTTAACCTCTTATGTAACTTCAGTTCTAATAGAGTGACTTTCAACAAAGCAGGGGTGGAGACCCATGATTTTGTGAGTCCCTGTCTGTTCAGGTGATCTGACATTTCATTTATAGATGATCGTGTGGTCACCAAATACTATCTTTTTTCCTTTTTATATTGATATTGTTATTACTCTGGCTGTATATGCCAATCCAGTACTTAGTACCCAGTCTTTCTTCTTACTTCCTGAGATACATTTTAGAAAAGGAGAAGAAAAATGAATTAAGAGATATAAGGCTGGGCTTAGTGGGATAATGTAGGAAGAGTTTTGTTATAAATAAGGCATTTTGGGGGCTGTGCATAACAAAGCTTACTTTTCTCTTTGCATGTCTTTTACCAGCATATTACCTAATTAAAATGAACTCTCCCGCTGTGGGCTATCGGTGATTGTCCTCCCTCCCCTCCACCATTCATATGTTGAAATCCTAGCCCCCCAGGTTATGGTATGAGGATGCAGGGCTTTTGAGAAGTGATGAGATCTTGAGAGTGGGGTCCTTATGAATGAGGATATTGCCCTTATAAATGCAGCTCCAGGAATTTCTCTTGTGGTTCCACTGTGTGATACACAGTGAGAAGATGCCCTCTCTGAATCGAGAAATGGGCTCTTGCCAGACACTGAACCTGCCTGTCCCTTGATCTCAGACTTCCCAACATCCAGAACTGTGAGAAATAAATATTTTAGTTTATAGGCTACCCAGTCAATGGTATTTTTGTTATCATAGCCTGAATAGACTGAGACACCTTAGAAGAAGTTTGACCACCTAGAGTGATTGATGTGCATTAAGGAGCTCTCAGAAGGCTCACCTGTATGCGGTTATAGGTCAGGGAGCCATGGTTACTTTCTCTCATGTCTGGAGGAGGCATAATATTTCAATAACGGTGAATTGTCAACATTAGCTGGTGCTGCTAGTTAGGGTGCTCTCCTACGGTTTGGGTTTACAAATTGGAAAGCTGCCTCTTACAGTCACTGACCTCTGTTCAGACACCGGCACCTTATTAACCTTCTCAAGATGCTCACCAGCCCATAGCATGGTAGAAGGGAATCCATGTCCAGTTGAAAAATTAGTGCTGGCATAAGAATGCATTTTCACTGTTGATGAGTGACTTTGTGTACTGCAAATGGAAATTGTTTGACAGTTTTATTTGGAATGATAACTACGGTAAATATTAATATATGCCTAAAAGGCAGAATTGATAAATTGTCACTGAATACGTTACTATGCTTTCAATTCTGAGTCAGGGAAATATCTTACTTATTCAAAAGTTATATACATATTTTATTTTTTAAATAGTTTATTGTTTATGCTGCTACAGTTGTCCCAATTTTTCCCTCTTTGCTCTCTTATATCCAGTCTTCCCCGCGGTTCCATAGTCAATCCCTACACCATTGTCCTTCATATAAATACGTATTTTAAAAGTTTGATGAAAAAAAACTCTAGTGTTCTGAGGAATCACCTGGGGTGCTTGTTTTAAAATGCAGATATTTAAAAAGTCCTTACCTGAGGACATGCTTAGAGGGGAAAGGAGGGAAAGAAAGAGAGAGGAACACCGATGTGAGAGAGAAACATTCATCCGTTGTCTGTCTTATGCGCCCCAACCTAGGACCAAACCCACAACCTAGGAATGTGCCCTGACTGGAAACTAACCCATGGCCTTTCAGTTTATGGGACAATGCTCCTACCAACTAAACCACACCCACACAGGTCAAGGCTTAAAATGCAGATTTTTCAGGCCACACTCCCAGGTATTCTAAGGCAATAAAGAATGGGGAAATCTGCATTTTGCAATAAGCATTCTGGGTGATTCTGATGTAGATGGTTCCAGAACCAAGGAACTGTAGTGCATATGACCACAGACTACATTCATGCAACAGATATATCTTTATTGAACACTGAATACAGGCATTTGTCCATGTAATAGATAATGCTTTAGTACATTAAGAAATAAAACATATTTCTTATCTTCTATGACTTGAATATTCAGCTTACTACACTGGATTTGACTTAATGTCATACAAACCATGTACAATATGATAGAAGCTTTGGAAACATTTCTTGAAAAATAAGAATACAATAAAGGAGCACACTTCATAGACAGAATTTTAGATGATCACACAGTTAAGTTTGCACTTTTGAAAGGACCTGAATCATTCATATTAATATTGTGAATTTCTTATAGATTATTCACTAGTTAAGGAGTCTAGACAAAGCCAGACTATGACATTATTTATACTAAGTACCACACCTGGAACTTGTTCTGAGTTATTTAACACAGAGCACATTTTTAATACAATAAATATTTACAGTTAACAGTAACAAGTACAATGATAACTTACAAAATATGGGTCTAATATTTAAAACAAAACAGAACATACCATTAATCAAGTCTGTGCCATCTATTTTTACAACTCAATGAATTGATCATTTCAACAAATTCTATTACCCACACCCCTGCTGCTTGGATGCAAGAATGGCCATGTTTGAATCAGTTTATCTAGGTTCCAGGGGAAAAAAAACTTTTTAAAATAATTTTTTTAAAGAAAAACAGCTTTACTTTCTTAATGTTGTACATGATCAATATGGATGTATCAATAGCAATAGCTAAAACTGAAGCAAAGTAATGAAAACATTTGGATTCGCAACAGGCCCAAATTATATAATATACCTTGAACACTGAAATTTTTAGTTATACCAAAATTTTCAGGCTTGTCTGGGAATTAATGAGGTGTTGAATGTGTGAAGTTTTACTGTCTATTTAAATGACCCTTTAAAAAGACCATAAAATTATGTGAGTCCTTCCATGTCATTATATGGCTCTGGGAATAAACTTTAAGTGGGGAAAACAAGGAAAATAATCTTCTAGAATGTGAGCATAGAGAGGGTAGAGAGTGGTGGTGTCTGAGTCTGCGATAGGGCACTTTGGGCTAGGCACTCCAACCTGAGCTCTGGACTTGGTGATCCCCTAGCCCAGGAGAGATGATCTGTTAGAGGCTTTTCAGTAGCCTGGGTCTCCAGGCTCTGGGAAATCATCCATTGTCATATGTTACTCTTTGTGAGGGGAAGAAGGGGAGTGGGTGTTTGCATTTCTTCCTGAACCCTTTTCTCCAACTAATCCTCATTCGAAGAAGGGTTTATGGATTGACTGTTCTCACTTGGGCCCTCTCTCGGCACAAGGTGTTTTTTCACCTTCGATTAGTCACAACCAGCAGCGTGGAATTCATCCCAGAGCTGCCATTTGCAATTGAATTGTATTTCTGGAGCCAAGGGATTTCCTTTCCCACCTATTTGTGCCTCATTTCAGTCTCTGCCTGCAGTGAGTCCTTGACTTTGGTGCTTAGAAACATCTTTGATGCCCTTTGTGTATATTCTTTGACTTTATCACTAGTTCAGACCTTAGGACAAAGTCTAGAGCAGGGAACAGGACTGTTAGGTATTGTGAATGTAATTTCTCACATGGCCTAATTTTGGGAAGCAATGCTGAGTAGCAGAATGGATTTAAGAGAGATCCAGGTCCACAGTAATGCTCTGCCGTGCAACTGTGCCATGTGACGTTGGGATCAGGAAGTAACCTCCCTGAGCCTCAGCTTCATCATCTGCACACTCTTTAAGGTACTCATGAGGATAAATAGCTGGGTGCACACTGTGCTTGGCATGTTACTAGTGCTTGATGAAGTGGAGCCCCTTTTTTCTAGGACTTCTAGAGCCAAAAAACTCCATTGAGGTTTCAGACAAATGCGACCCGTTTTGTAGCTTGTGTTTTTGCTCCCCAGGTTCCTGCCTGCCTTATCTTAGCCTTCCACTTCATTGTGATGCAGAATGCTCTTCCCACTAATGTGCCTCTCCTAGGGCAACCAACAATGACTCTGATCATTCCTTTGTGCCAAGTTAAACAGATTTGCTTTGGGGATGACAGATTATCCTGTAACTGGGAAAGCCATGATCAGTTCTGTTCTGCAGTAACACATAAAGAGCCATGAGAATGAATGCAATCGGGTTGAGTTGAACCTCATGAAATCACATTTTGTAGGCAAATATAGTCCAGTGTCTTCAGTTTCACATGTTTCAGCCTCATAGTTTCATGGGCCTTTTAATCTAATAATAATGTCACTAGTAAATGTCATTTGCAAAATTCCATGGTCAATGACGTAAAGCAGCTCTTTGGTTAGCAGGGAAGGCTTGGATTAGATGAAACAATGAGTATAAAAAAGTGTTTGTAGACCATGAACTCTAGGTAAATGCAAAGTATTTTTAAACTTAATTGTGCACATGTAATATTATAACCCAGGGGCTCGTAAACTTTTAAAAATTTAGATAAATTCCACGGACTGCATTTTTAAAAATGAAGCTTCACAAGAGAAAAGTCTGTTCTCACCGTGCTATTTGTTGGTTGCTCTCTATATATTCAGCTGGAATATAGCCACAGGAACATATCCAGGTGAGAGCTGAGAGGAATGACCATCCGATCCAGAATAAAGTAGAGGTTGTTAGGGCGTGGCTTCATTGAATAGCTCACACAAAGCCTGGTCCCAGGAGAGTGAATAATGTTGCTGTCAGCTGTTAATCCATTTCATGAAAATTTAGCCAAACAATAGACAAATGTGCAAAATGTGATCCATTTTTCCCAGGAACCCAGGGTTAATTCTAAGCTACTCTCTAATGGTAAGTACCTCCTGGTGTAGATGTGAAGGATCCAAAAAACAAGAAAGTTTGCATTCATCGCCACACAAGTGCATACTATTCATTCCTCTCTCATATAGTCAGGTTCTCAGGGTGATCATCCCTATCTGGCTTCTGGAAAAAGTGACTTAGCTACTTTTTAATCCACAGATTGAGGATGTCATTCACCATGTAGTCCCCAAACAAAGCTAATCTCTATTACAGAAGCCATTTAGTGCACGGATAGACTTTGAAACCAATAACTGACTGCTAGTTTTGGCATAAACAAAGATTTTATCACTTAAGTGTGCCCATGACCTATACACAAGTTCAGTTATTTTTGTTCAATATGCATTTTCATAATAAGCTGAGCTTGCTTCATGTGAGTAGCCTCTAAACTGTTTATTTACCTAAAGGTTCTCCATCCTTCAAGATGAAACCAAATTGTTTATAGGACAAAGCAGGAAATCCCGGACTTGTTAATGAGGCAGAAGGCCAGGTTCAGTCGGGGAGTAAGCACAGCCAGGACAACATGGTTTAGCCATCCCCATTTATAGGAATCATCAAATCAACAACAGGGAGGGGCCTTGTCTTCACGGAGCTGGGAGGATCGACTTGCTGTGGAATATTGCTCCTACCAGCCGCTGCACCTTCCCTGCCAGCAGCAGCCATTGGTGGGAAGGCTGCTTTGTTTATTGCTTAATCTATCACTATTGAGCTGCCTGCCTCGGGGAGGCTCAATTTAAGATAGATTGAAAGGTAGTGTCTGTCAATTGAATAAACACAGATGGTTTTCCAGAGCAAAAATTGATTTTTTTTTCCTCGCCAAAGAAATAAGTGCTAAACATGATTATCTTTGGAAGCCAGGCGTGAAATGTCTTAGTTCTAAGCCTCTGCCACACTCCACCTTAGAAGAGAGGTGGTACCACATCAGAGTGTGGGTCTCTCTGTGATTTTAGGTTCTTGAAGTAAAATAAAAATTTGACTTCCTTAGAGAAGGGCCCAGTTAAGTCCACCCCAGTTAGCTTTGAGCCAATCCATCCGTTGATGCACACAATAGTTTTATCAGTCCTAGGTCACCTGCTGGCAAATACCTCCTCCAACCCTTTCACATAAGAGTCCCAGAGGTTGTAGGGTTTGCCTACAAACACATGGTTATACCTAGACTTCAGTATCTTCAGTGTTTGGCCAGAAGGTACCATGTTATGATGGTAACTGAAGGAGACATTAAGATGAGTCCTACTCCCCATATGTTTTTGGAAGAAGGTAGATCAGAGATGCTTTAACAAGTTATGCTAGGTACCCAGAATGCTATATACCTTAACAACTAACTAGAAATGAAATCACTTACACTCAAGAGTTGTAAAGAAAGCCAAGGGTAAAATTGTGGAGCAGTGGTTCAAAACAGGTGCATGGAGGTTGAAGAAGGGTTAATAGGAAGAGTACTCTTTGTATAATAAGGAGATTGAGCAATGTGTTTTCTTTTGCCTCTTTCAGCTCTAATTTGAAAACATAACACACTAATGGGACATCATTCATACAAATCATTCCAAGGAGTCCCTGGAAGTTATGGGACAGTCTGTCTCCTTCCACTCCAGGTAGATGTGAATGTGGAATGGTGGTTGAGTGATTTGTAAGGGTTACAGAAGTGGGGCAACCGTGAGTAAGTGGGCTCCATAAATGCTTGCTTGCTTTAGTTAGTGAGTGAGTTAGTTAGTCAGTCAGTTAGTCCTCACCCAAAGACATGCTCATTGATTTTAAAGAGAGGGGAAGAAAAGGAGAGGAACATTGATGGGAGAGAAACATTGATCAGTTGCCTCTTGCGTGCACCCTGACTGGGGACCCAACCTACAACCCAGGAATGCACCCTGACTGGGAATCAAACTCGCGACCTTCCGGTTTATGGGACAACACTCCAACCAACTGAGCTATACTGGCCAGGAGTATATGCTTTAGACATAGAACTAGAAACAATGATGAGACTAAGAGGATGTTAGCAATAGAAGAGACTTTAGCACTGTCTTCTCATTCTAGAGATGAAAAATATGAGTCTAGAGGAGGGATGTTGATAGCCAAGGTCATTTAGTTAGAGCCAGAGTTTGAAGGTCAAGCTAAAAATCTTGGTTCTTTCAGCTACACTATTTGTCTTGCTTTTGAAATTGTCTAGTGTAATTGTGGACTACCAAGAAAACAGGTGTGTCCAGTATATAAGTGCATGCAGCAAACAGAAGTGAAGCAGTTTCACTCCAGCTAATACAACTGTAAACTCAAACCTTTACAACTGTCTTGGTCCTAACTTCTAAAGTTCTGCAGACACTGAGTGTTTCTTTGAATCAAGAGACAAAAGTCTTTTAATATGTGTCATGTGGAAAAGAGAGCTGATTGTTCTGTCTCACTTGGATAGAGAATACCAGAACCATAATGGTTTTAGGATTAAGGTATGCACATTAGGGCATATTTACAGAATTTGCATTTATTCAAAATGGGTTAACATGTTTGCAATCTATTAAACTGGCCTGTACTTGAGAGGAAAAAAACAATAAAAAACTTGATTCAGGTTTCTAAAGTAAGATTGTCAAATCCTTTTACTTGGAAGAAGATCTAAGTCCAGCATCTTTCTGCACATGGGTTGCTTTGTAAATACTCTTCTTAAGTAGAAACTTAATATATCTGTAGCTGTTTTTAATCAGTTTTTAAAGCTAAGCTCCCCATAACTGTTATACATATTTAGATAGAAATACATATCACTGAAATTGTATTCATTTCCTCCCACTAACTTTAGGTGAGGTACTCATTAAATGTAACATGTTTTCTTTTCACCCAGATGTGATCCTTTTTCTTTTCTCCTTGGAAACTACTGCCTCAATGTTGCGGACATGGACATCCAAATCCAAGTAAGTACATTTGACTGAAAATCTTGTCTACCAAAAATGAACGTTATACTTTATGCACTTACAATGTTTGATGAATTGATAACATGATCGATTCCCCTCCCCGCAAAAGGGATTCTTTTCTCCTATGGTGGAACTGATTACAGCCAGGGAACATCAGAAAGAACTTCTATTAAGTTAGAATTCAGAATGTGAGATATTACTCCACAGCCGCACATGGATCTTTACATATGTGTCTATGTGTTTGGTTGTGTTTTTGCCTTCAAATGATATCTTGAGTGTTTCTTCTATGTCCTCAGTAATGTCCAACACTTGCATTTGTCTTAAATTGGCTCCTGGTGTTATTAATTTGGGGACTGTCCTTCATATATGAAACTCTTTCATAGGTTTGGCTTTTCATGTTGTGTCAAAAAGTTTCTTACTTTGTGATTATAAATATTCCTTAAATATGACTCAAATCACATTTTTTAAAAGAACCAGCCCTTGCTCAAGAAATGACAAGGTGCAGTCTTTCACAACGTGGACATTCAACATATAATTTCATCTGCTATATAAGTTTGGTTCTTCATATAGTGTCTATGACTTAATTGGCCACACCTGTGTATCAGGACTTGCTGCTTAAAATAATTATGTTCTATTTGGTCCCTTTTCTTAAAAAAAAAAATTCGCTCTACATCAGGAGCAGTATTCACAGGTCAAAGTGGAAAAGGTAAGTCTTGGTGGACCTTGCAAACTTAATAGCGATCCTTTTAGTCTTCTCGCCAACCCATGGATACCACTCCTGGGCCTTACAAAGGGTCTTTAGAGGGTACAGAGACACTGACAGATGTGAGGGTTTATTACCAGCCACAAAGCAAAACCAGGAGTACCGGGGGCCAGGATCAAGGGTCAGCCTAGACGTACCCCTCATGACAGATGTTGCCATTGATAAGGCTGAAAGTGGCCGCGGAAGGGTTGGTACTCTTGAAGGAGGTCATGCAGGTGGTACTTCTGCCAGTGCTGTGAGACCGGGTCAACAGGCCAGGGCGGCAACAGAGGAGCTGGGTGTTGAATTGCTTCCTGAAACTCTTGCTCAGTAGGTAGAGGGCAAAAGGGTTGACACAGGAGTTGGTGAAGGCCAGGAGGCGGGCGCAGATACTGGTGACGAAGTGGAGCATGGAAGTGTCCACCTTGGAGTAGTGGTAGGAGCGGTACAGGTAGATGACATGGTTAGGAAGCCAGCAGAAGGCAAAGAGGCCCACGAACACCAGCACTGTCTTGGCGAGGCGCTTCCGGGATTCGATCTGAGGAGAGAGTTACACACAGAGAGGATAGAGGGACCAAGGGACAGTGTGGAAGGATTGCCACCGAGAGACAAAGGTTCAGACAGAGAAAGACCAGGAAAAAGAATTAGGGAAAGGGAAAAGCTCGTAAAGCCATGGAAAAAGAGTTCAATAGGAGAAAGGGGGCCAGAGAGAATCAGATAAATGAGAGAAAAGCATCAGAAGCAGATAGAAAAAGGGAAAAAGTCCAAAACACAGAAATGGAAAAGCCAGAAAGCAGAAATGCATGAGGCAGAATACAATTAGACCATGCCACTAAGAACAGATCTTTAAGCAAAGTTGATTACACGCTTGGATGGACTGCACGCCGAAATTCTAGTAAGTGCTCTCTTTTTTCTCAGGAGGGCATTGGTACAGTTTATCAGCCATGTGACTTCATGTCTTTCTCCCCAGCTAAAAATCTCTTATTCCCTCTGATGCTCAAAAATGTCAACTTTGTTCGTTCTCAATGGACAAACCAAGATAATTAGCTATTATTATTATTATTATTTATTATGATTATTTTTTAGCCTCAAGTTATTTCTGGACTATACTATTCAGGAAGGCCCTTACTGCAAGGGGAAGTACCTTTCTCATTAAAGAATTTGGGATGCGATGTACATTCACTATTGAGAGGTCTTTCAAGTGGGAGGAGAGTTTCATTGAGATCTGCCATTCTCTCCTTACAATTAAGATCTCCCCCACCCCCAGAAAAAAAGAACTCTGAAGGGTGAAGCTTCCGACTGAGTCCGCTGTACATTGAAATGGATGGGGAATCTTTCTGTTTCTCCATCATTAATACATAATCTACATTTGGAGTGGAAGGAAAGATCTGACAAAAAGGAGGAAGCCAGAGCCTCTGGTTTCTACTGGTCTTCCCTCAAGGATGAAATTACAGGGGGTTACATGGATGGGCAAGGGCGTCCTACACAGAGGAAGGGCATCCTGCTTTTTGGGCAGTCTGGGGTGTACATATGCTCTCTTTTGCAGTCTTCTAACAGCTTTACAACCTAGGGGTTATTAGTCTATATTGTGGATAAGGGAATCGAGGCTCAGGGAAGGTAAATCATAAAACCTGGATTTGAAAGTAAATCAGTGGCAGCCAGTCCTAATCAAGCTACTTCTTTTTCTTCAACCACTCTCATTTTCCTGCCCCCTCTGCTTTTTCCCCATGTGGAAATCCTCTTCCTATCCAAACCACGTGATTCGAATTTAAAGAAGTCACATCCCTCTGAGCCTCAACATTTTATTTTTTTAAAACAACAATAACAAAACAATACTTTTTCAGATATTTCTCAAAAAGAAACCCATACTCTAAATCCTTCAGGTTCTCAACACTTCCCTAGCTTAGATCTTTAATAAGAGAATGAGTTTATACAGAGCGCCTGAATTCCTGGTCGTCTGTAGCTAGGAACTTCCATTTACCATCTGGAAGCAGATCCCTCACCTCCTCTAATTGTAGAATCAGGTGATGTGATCACCCAAATACCACACCTGTCAGTGGGGTTCAAAAGAAATGCAAGGGATCAAATCCCCAAGGAGGAAATTAATCAATCCTAAGCACCCACCTGCTTCTTGACATGTATATTCCCTTCCACAGGCAGATTGTAAGCACTCTGGATCAGATTTTTGGCAATAAAGTAGTAGTAGACAGAAATGATCGACAGTGGGATGATGTAGAAGATCAGAAAGGAAGCCGTGGAGTGGATTTTGGGGTGCAGCTCATTAGAGTGTGGGTATGGTGCACAGCTAATGAAGGTCTGATTGGTGCTTTCCTCATGAAAAGGGTGTAGATCCGAAAACACAGCTTCTGGGATGGCCAGCAGCATGGAGATGATCCAGATCAATGCAGCTTTGAGGCAGATCTTCATCAGGGCATGAGAGGCTTGGATATCCATTGGCCGGACAATGGCTTTGTACCTGGGACAGGAACGAGCAAATGTTCTGCGTAAATTGCCTAATATTACTATGGATAGCAGGACTTGGAATTGGGTGAGGCGATCTAGGCACCTGGGTGCAATAGTTAAGGAGTTATTCACTCTCAGCTTCGTGCCGGTGCCAGCTCTGTACACAACCCTGACAGTGGTTGGCCACGTAAATGTTGTACCCCACATCCCTCACTCACCTTATTCTAGTCCTGCCTGTGAATGATACCTTCCCCTTTCTCCAGCAGTAACATTCCGTCCCTATTCTCTCTAGATTTTAAGATTAATTCTGAGTAATGACGAAGCTCCTTTCATTTCTCTTATTAAATCATAGGAATTAATAATAAATCATGTTTTAAGAAGGGCACAGGGACAGGAAGGTAGGCTGTTTTTTTTTGTTTTTTGTTTTGGCAAAGCCTTCATTTTGAGTATTCAGATGCTATGTAGGGAAACTTAAGTCATTGAGTATTTACATATATGCCTTTTCTCTTTTTCAAAATATATAGAATGAATACTCTGCTGAAAAATTTGTACACAGGAGCATTCCTGTAATTATCAAAATAATTTTTCTCCAGTCCCATTTTCTTTCAGCCTCATCTTCTCTTATTTAGGTCTTTCTTGGTTCCTGTGCTACATGTGCCCTTGTCTTGGATCAAGTGTTCCGGGAAGCAGACACTGAGATGAAATCAGGAGGATAAACAGTTTATTGGGGAGTAATACCTATGAACGGGGAAAGGGAAGGAAGCAGGATTGGGCAAAGGGAGGTATCAGACCCTGATGCCGATGTGATAAAGTTTACACCAGTTAATGTAACCAATCACCTTAGCTTGCCTGAAAATTCCCCAGTTTTTGCACTGAAAGTCTTCTATGCTGGGAAATCTCTGACTCCTCGCGTACTGAAACTGCTGGTCACCCTACCTGAGCTCAGTGGGAAGCTTGCGAGCAAAGGTTGCCCAATGGAGGAGTCCTGTCTTGGGAAGACATGGTCAGCCCCTTCTGTCATCACCTTGCTTAGCTGACAGTTAGGGCCACCCAAAAAGAGTGTGACCTCAGTTAGAACCTGATTCAGTCACTGGGCAGGAATTGCCCAAGAAGAGCATGACCATATCTTGAAAGATGAAGTAGAGGCTGAAGGAGGTGACAGCTGGAGGTTGTCAGGTAACCACAGTCCCTGCAGCTGGACAGCAAGTCATTTCTTCAAGGGAAGTCTGAGTTGAGCATTTCCATGTGTGCCCCTGCTCCTCACACAATGCCCTGCAGTGTGGGCTGCACACCTGTTTTGTGTGCACTTGTCTGAGAACCCACTACACGATGAGGTCCTGGTCAGCGAGGAGCGTGTCTTTTCCATGTTGGCATCTGCCAGCATTGTGATTTGTACACACTCCACAAACATTTGTTCAATTGAACATGAGCTGCCATAGTGTGGAAGTTGATATAAGTTGGGACCAACTAAGTGCAAGGGTGTACATTGCTGGAAATGGTGTGTTGAAACTGGATTTTACCTATGATACTCTTTTATAGCACGGACTTCAATGAAGGAGGAACACTTATTTCTGCTTGTTTCTATGTTGATTAAGCCTCCATTGAGTTACCATTATTGGCTGCACCCTGACTCCTCACTCGCTTTCCTCCTCCCTCCAGGGCAGGGGGGTGATTTATTAAGTGGTGAGTTTGAGGAAAAGAATCTGACATGTTCATTGGGCTCAGAGAGGCCTATGGTTGTCTAACTGTCCCTGACTACGAGAATGGCACTCCTAAAATAGGAAATCAGAGTGCCTGCAAGATCATTATTGCTGAGGACCTAAGTCACATTCTCCAATAGCTTTATCAGACACAGACCAATCATTTTTTATTGTTCTCTTTCTGATTTCTTTATCTAGCTCTCTGTCCCCAGCTCAGGTAAGGAAGAGAGGACTAGCATTTGCTGGGCATCCCCAGTACTCCAGAACAACACTAGAGATCTACTTCAGTGCGCCTGGGTTTGCTTTCCACCCATATTTGTATTCATTCATTTTAAACAATTGAAGAAAATAGAAATTTCTTTGAACTTTCCAGCACTTTCTCTAGTCCCTAGTTATTTCAAACACTTTTATTCCTAGTTCAGAATGTAGGCAAGGAATTGGTATCTTTATTAAAGGTATGCAAATATCTTTACCCGAAGACATACCTATATGACTAAAGATATCCCTAATAAATTAATTAAAGATAAAGTGATAATGATAACTTCTATCTGCATTTTCTGGCAGAGAGCAGTCATCGGCACCACTAGCTCTCCAAGTGAAGGTGACTCACTCATACATGAGTCAGAATTAGAGTGAATGGCTTACCTTCTGTGTTGGGAATCTTGTATTCCTAAGTGCAAAATGCCATGAGACCTACTGAGCTGCTATGTCAAAGTACATCCTTTAAAGTATAAAAGACTGTATAAAATCATTTTTATAGTTTTTCAAAAAGAATAATTTGAATCTAAACCTAATTAAGCCTCTAGGTCTATGTATCAGTTTTCAAGAAAAGTGGGGGTAGAAGAACCTGTTAAATGGTGCCATGAAGATATAAATCCTGAACTGGAAAATTCTACAGGTATAATGACCCCATTTTTCCAATAAATATATAGCATAAAAAATCAGGGAGAATGATTACAGACAGATTGAGATGTGTAAGACATCAATCAAGTGTAATGTATCTATTTTGGATTTTGATTCAAACGAAACAACCTATTTCTGAGACCATTGAGGAAAATCAAACATAGATTGCATACTGTTGATATCAAGGAATTATTTTTACTTTTTATTTTTTTAATCCTCCCCTGAGGACACTTTTTCATTGCTTTTGAGAAAGAGAGAGAGAGAGAGAGAAACATTGTTGTAAGAGAAACACCAACTCGTTGCCTCCCATACATGCCGTGACTGCAGATCGAACCCACAACCTTTTGGTATATGGGATGATGCTCCAACCAACTGAGCCACATGGCCAGGGCCAAAGGAATTATTTTTAATGTATTGGGTGTGAGAATGGCATTGTGATTGTGTTTTAAAAAGACTTTATTTATTAATAACCTACCCTATAGGCAAAGATTTCTTGGACAGAATGCAAAAGACACTAACTGTGCTTTAGTTTGAAAAAAAACCAACCCTAAAATAGTTATTAGTGAAATAATATAATGTCTATGACATACTTTTAAATATTTAGACAAATTCATATATTACTTGTGTAATTAAAAATAAGTTTAAATGCATTGCAAATAATTTTCTGTTGTGGAATATTCATAAAGTATCAAAGAAGTTAAAGAAATCTCATTTAGTAAGCTCTTGCCTTGCACCAAACAGAGAATAGCATATACATTATCTCATGTATGTTCCAGACAACTCCAACAGGTAGGTGCTATTTTCCCCATTCTACAGGTGACAAATTGAAGCTCAGTTTCAGAAGTGGTGGGGTCAACATTCAATTTATGACCAAGTCTTTTCAGGGTACCATAGCTCTTTCAGAAGAAAGCTTTGGGTAAATTTTTCCTACAGGCAGATAAACAGATCAGATGCTTCCCAAATGTGTATGGGACAAACCAAATGTTCCATAGAAGTCTAATGGTTCTATAGAGCATGAAACATATCATCAATGTATTTGTTCTTCCAGTTTAGACTGCTCTACTCAGAGCTCCCAATGCAGGGAGACACCACTGGGTAATTCTCATTTAAGAGTGATGGCTGGTTGGACTGGAGTAGATATTCAATCTAAACCAGCCAACAAACTACCTAGCTAGCTACTAAAGACTGTCTCTTACTCTTAAGCATTTAAATTGGAAAATAGAGAGGATGTAGTCGGTCAATGATAGATGTAAGAAAAACCAAAATTTTGGTGTCAAGGAATGTATTAGGGCAGCCACATTTTAACCATGAGCAAGATAGATAAGCAGATCGGGTAGATTGAAAGAAAGAGAAAGAATGAGGCAGAAAACAAAGAAGCTGAGATGATGTGGCCCTAAGTCATACAGAGTGTTCTTGGTTCCTGGCCCATGAACCACTTTTGAATGTACAAGAGGCCTCCTGTTATAAACTTAATAAGTCTTCCATCTCCTTTTCACTTGAATTAGTGTGAGTGGCTTCTGTTCTTTACCAACAAAAGAGCCTTATCTAGAACAATTAGTCATGGTGGTCACTTAAAGTTATCATCAGATACATTTCCAGTATCAGTTTGCATAGATCATCCCCCATTTGCAAGCCATCTGAAAGAATGAGCTGTCAACTTTCAATTATACTTAAGAGATAGTCAATAGATTAGTCTTAGTCTATCTCTTGATCCTAAATTCTCCATCGCTTTTCTGTCTCCTTCCTTTCTTCATGCCCAATCCGAGTCTCTATTCATCTGAATCCTACCCTTCTAAATTCCAGCTTTTAAGTATCATGTTGATGAAGCTTTTGCTGGCCAGTCTAGACCTCAATTACTCCCATTTTTTCTCCTAACCTGTTTAATTTTATGACAGGATTATTGACTCCTCATTTTATGCTTACTACGCACTATCTTGAATTGTTTTCTAGCTTTCCATGGGTCTGTCTTTTCTACCTGACTTTTTCATAAGTTTCCTGAAGATGGAAGCTTTTATCTTCTCCTCTTCCCTTGTTTCTGTATCTCTAAAAAACATTCCAGGTCCGTTGTCCTACATACCATTTATTTCAAAGTAGGGGCTTAGCAAATACTTTCCAATTAATTGATCAATAATATGGACTTGCAGATGTCTCTTATTTACAAGTCCTCATAAATGAGAGAACAGATCCACTTTTACATACTTAGAAAGCATCATTCTTCCCTAGAGTGACAAGTTCACTCCTCTGGTAATATGGGGCTCGAGACAATTGCTTCTCACTTCGGAAAACATCTGTGCTTCATTTTTTAATTGCAAACATTGAAAAGGTCAGAAATGTTCTCTGTCACAAGATTAATGTGTGAAAGCTATTCTTGGCAAGTATAAGTAGTTGGCTCCTACGCCCACAGTTGGAA